TTAGTTTAGTGGCCGATTAGCGGCCACTAAACACACGAGACTTCTACCGACCTTTTTTGACTAGCCTTGATGAGCTGGCCAAAAAAGGTCGGTTTTGCTAAATATTTTTCGAAACCAGTCTATTTCAAAAAATTCTCCGTTTGTGTTGCATTCTTTTATTTCTCTTTCACTTGCTCTTTTGTTAGTGTCTCCTCCTTTCTTTTTTTCCCCTCTTTTATTCTTTTTTGCTATTCTGGTTACTATTGCAGAATAAAGTCACTTACTCAATTATATAAGGTTCTAATATGTTTGTTTTTAGTTTACGCTTCTCTTTTTGATATTTCTCTACTTCACTATTAGCTATATGCCATCCTTTTAATTTTCTTCCTCTTCTTTGCTATGATTCTTCCCTCTGTTGCTTCTTCCATATAAGGCTGCCTAATCTTTCTTCTTCTTTTCTTGTCGGCCTCCTATTCTTTTCTCTGTTGTCTTTTCTCTACTATGCCTTGCTATTTCTTTTTCGTTTTTCTTATCTCAACGTTGTTTTAGAGGTTGCTTTTACAAAATCAAAGTTTCTTAATCAGTATTACAGAATGAAAATTCTCGGCATGGAAAAAAGAGTTGCCTTAAATTTAGTATCAATGATCATCTTATAGGGAAATTAGTTTGTCGATCATAGTTTGTAATCATAATTGTGCTCAAAATCTTGAGGAGAAATGTGCAGTTGTGGTTGTGCAATAGAGGCACTTGCTCGCTTTCGCCTTGCACCTTGCTCATCAGGCACGTGAAGGCCTTTGGGCATTGCTTTGCTCCTTGCATGTAGACTGTTGAGTCAGTGCAGCAGTTGAGCTCACTTATTTATTAAAGAAAATCTTTAATATAGATACGAAAGATGTTATTTAAAGTAGCTTTAGTTTATTATAACATGTCTATAGCTAGTCTTTTGCTTTCTTACTGCCCAAAACCTGAGTGTATCTGTTTTCAAATTATTGTACCGCTATATATTATGCACTTGCAATATTATAATTTTAAATTTAAACTATAATTAAGTTATGAGACCTATGTCTCAAGCCTTGAAGGGTACGCTTTATTTTATTGAAGGGTTCAACGCATCACCTTGTGCTCCTGGGGTTTTCATTATTTGTCAAGAAGCTTATGTCTCCCTGACAAATAAAATAAAAACCAAAGAAAAGCTTATGCTTGAGTATCAGTTACTCTGGCTTTACCAACATATGTTAATGTAGTAAATGTCTGATTCCTTCAATGTTTACTTTTTTCTGCAGGACTTTCACTTATGGAATATCCGGGATTGAAGTCTATTGATCCTGCTTATGCATTACCCGTGGATGTGGTGAATAGGATTTTCTTTGGGAAGTAAATGGATCCACATACATATTAATTAATTCACAGCCGATTGTCTGTTGAGCATGAAAGTTGACTGTGTTCAAATCTTTACTGTTCAGGCTGATTGGTGATCAAAGTTCTTCTAAAGTGCTGTGAACGGTAACTGCGTTGGCTGGTCACTGCTATTATGCTATGCAGTATCTGATTGTGTAAAAGTACTTGTTGAAGGAGTGTTTCTATCATTTTTGCCGTCTTGATTCCGTTGAACTTCACTCCCTGTGAATATGTCAAAGTGTCTTGTTCTTATTTTCTTGTTCAGGGCGATTCTGTAGAACAAAAATCATTTGACTTTTATGTGCATGACTTTGTAACCAGTGGTAGGTAGACCTGTCCATCCGGACCGGGCAAAACCGGAGCCCGGACCCGGGTACCCCGGGCCGGGTCCGGGCCAGGGCCCAACCAGGCCGAGTTCCGGGCCGGCCTGGTTTATTTTTTTTTTAATTCTATTTAAAATTTAAATTATACAAAAAAGACAAAAAAATTAATAAAAACCAATAATTTTATTAATCACTTAAAATGACATAAATTATAAATAAAAAAATTATAAAAATAAATTTTTTATTAATAATTAATAAATTATTTACAAATTATAAGTATAAATTTATTTTGGAATT